CGTAACCCTCCTCTCTCTCTCTCTCTATCTCTCTCTCTCTATATATATATGATTGCATGTAACGGTTGTGTAATAGTATAATGCAACCACACTTTTCAATAACTATGTTTTTGGTATTTGTATGACCCCAAATTTTGCTTACACATTCTTTGCAGCCTTATAATCAACCTTATGAAAAAAATAATTCAATCTGCACCCTATATATGGTCAAAATTAGTACCCTCCAACAATAAATCTCAACTGTCCATTTGATGAATTTCAAGTTCTAGGCCTTGACAAATTCAAAATCACTTTTTTCTTTTGTAGCATTGTTAATCAAATGATGATAACGCTATATATAAAAACTTTGGGAATAAAAAAATCCTTATGAAGCCTATATCTAACCATCTCACTGAAATAGACGGTTTATCCTTCAGAGTTAAAAGAAAGTACATTTTACATGGAAAACGTTTATATAAGGATGCAACCCTATAATGTAGAACTACGGATACACCTCAAAAACCCATCGGAAAAGGTAGTTTTGAAGTTGAAAAACCCTTAGTTGATCATCTCGACATCGATCTGTATGACCATGGACAATAAAAATATTTTAAGTCTCAAAACTAGTGCATTTTACGACATCCTATCTACACCGTCCATTTTCAAGATTTTCATATATTTTTAGATCTACTTGATTTTAACTATTTTTAAATTAAAAATTTTCTAATTAGATATAAAAATTGATTTTGAGATAATCCTAAGAATATTTTACATCAAAATTATGTACCATGATAACATCTGAAGGTGCACCTTACCTCTACAGCAAAGGATGCATCCGTATGCCAACTACACCCTTTAAAAGTTTGTGTCAAACAAATGTCTCTAACATGATTTTTGAAGATAAATACATTATACAACTATACAACCGTGGCATGAAATCATTTCCATATATATATATATATATATCTATATATATATAGATATAGAGAGACCCATCAATCGATACATGAGGCAAACCTCCATTAAGGTATAGAAATAGAGTCCTCGGAGAAGGGTCATCATCTCCCCTAAAAAAACAGGGAAAGATAGCTCAGCCTTCTTATTCACTCTGCCATACACAAATAATGGGGAAGTATCGCATCAAATACCTAACCATGTAGCGTAAAGCCCCCATCCTTAATTTGAAGCACCGAAATCCTCATCCTCAATGGTGGCGGCTCCTTTCAGGAAAAAATTGCATGAATACGAGAAAAGGAGAAAATGGGCCCTATGCCTAATTATTTTTCCCCCACTCTTGGAAAGTTGCAGACCATCCAGATTAGATCGCTTTATAGCGTTTCAGCACATATGTCCGTTAACAGAAAAAAAACAGAATAAATTTAGCAAATTTTTACATATAATGAGGCCATCTATTTTTTTCTACAAAAGTTTACAATTGTTATTGACCATCAGATTTGAAATTGTGTATTTAAAGATGTATAATGTTTAGGCATAAAGTTTAAAATAAAATTTGTCCCAAACAATGGGTACAGTTTGTGTAGAGCCGAGGCTCTAAACAATCGAAATAAAGCCCACCTTCAAATAGTATCAATAAATGTGATTTTAATATTAAAAATCTTTGTGATAGCCTTAAGATATATTTTCAACTTTGATGATAAAATTTAAAGCTTAAAAAATAGCGTAGATCGAGCCGATTTATAAATACTTGAAAATCTTAAAAATCGACAGTCTAAAAATGCATTATAAGACACTTTAGTTTTAAAAATTAAAAGTCTATTTTTTTTTCTTATATACATCTTATATACATCTTAAATCAAGATACTTGGACATCAAAACAACCTCTTGTGATAAATTTTATGAGGTGGGCTCTAATTTGATTGTTTGGCTCTATATAAACTTTTTTACTTTTTTAGTGCAAGCCTAAAATTACGAATGCAGACGGGGGCATTCCGCGACAAAAGTTAACTTCGTCCGTTTCATTGGCCCCCACAGCTCTCTCTCACACTAAAAATAGGCAGACGGGTCCTTGGAGCACGTGCGTTTTTATAAAAACGTGTGAGAGCACCCAAGCCACGCGTGTCCCAATAGGTGATCCAACGGTTTACAACGTGACACGAACTAGACACGTGTCAATTGCCTCGTCAATCCTCGGACTTGGCGGACTGGACGACGCCTATTAAATCAAGTTTAATTGACCTTACTGTGGAGCCCACTTCGGGAGAGGATAACTATCGTGCTTTTGAAACGTACGCTTCTCTATTAAATGCCCTACTTTTCGTGTAATTCTCGACAATGCCCTTACATGCTCAGCAAAGATATTCGAGCGAATTGTCGGCTCTCTCGGTGCTAAGTGCTTGGTCTTTGGAGAGAGGAGAGTGTAGAGATTGCCACGTGTATCAAGGAGTATTTCGGAGCTGCCCTCTGGCCTGGCAATGGATTCGACTAGATTTAGGATCCAACGGGTATATCCAAATTCGGGTCCGGATATGGATCCACGTTTTAGATTCAAATGTCATTTACGTCTAAATTCAGATCTAACCGGACTCGACCCATCCCCACCCCTAGGTTTGGATCGTATAGATGGGTCATCCAATTGCTTTCAAAATGAGAACATTGAGTTTGATACACATATGGAAAGAGTGAAGGATACACACATTGTTTTCTCTCTCTAAATCTAATACGAAAAGGGTGCCGTTTGTTTGGAGCCGAGGCTCTAAACGATCAAATTAGAGCCCACCTCTAAATAATATCGAGAAATATATTTTTAATTTTGAAAAGTTTTGTGATAGCCTTAAATTATATTTTCATCTTTAGTTGTAAAATTTAAAGCTTCAAAAATAATGTAGATCGAGCAGATCTGTGAAAACTTGAAAATTCTGAAAATTGACGGTCTCAAAATGCGTTACAAGATGTACTATTTATAAAACTTGAAATCCATTTTTTTCTCATGTCCATATATGCTGATGTAGAGATGATCAACTTGATGATATTTAGGAATCAAAACAGTCTCTTCTAGTAAAAGTTTTGAAGTAGGATCTAATTTGATTGTTTTGAGCGTAACCTCTATATAAACTTTTCCCATAAGAAAAAGATACAGTTCTCTCTCTCTTTTCCTTTATGATTTTCTCTCTTTTACCTTTCCGGTTTGGATAGAGAGGGCAGTAGCAGTTTCTTTGAATGTAACTTTTCGGCCCATTAGGCTCTTAAAGACTGGTGAGTTTTGGGCCCATTTGGCATTTAAAGACTGGTGAGTTTTTCTCTCTTTAATTATCCGACGTGTATCTAGCCTATCTTGCTCGGTTTCCTTCTCTTTACGCGCTTGACATATCTTGTAAAAAAAATTATAAAATTAAAAAATTCTAAAAAATTTAAAAATTATTTGTAATATATTTTTAATATTTTCTAGCATTTTACAAAGATTGGGAAATGTTTTGGCTATAAATAATTATTTTTACAATTTTTTATCTTTAAATCATTTCTAAATTATCTTTAGTCATAAATGGTTTTTCTAAAATCTATTTTTTCACTATTTTATTAACTTATTCAGATGTGTTTTATTACTTTTACTTTAAGAAAACTTACATTTTAAAATCTTGTCGTATTTTTATTTTTTAACACTTTTTAGCCTAACAAGACCTGTCCAACTCGGGCTGGGGCTGGGCCAAGGTTTGGTTTCGGGGCCGAGTGGTGCTTTCCTGCAAACAAAAAGTTCCAAACTTCCGGTTCCCGGGTTTGCAAGACCGGTGAGTTTCTCTCTTAAGAGAGAGAAACTCTATTCTACTGTTTCTAGATAATATTTTTTGTAGGGCAGGTCCATCAACTTTTGAAGCAAAGTGCTGTGTGCGCGTGTTTGCTTCTTGTTTGTTAGGGGAAACATATTTGCCGGTTTCTTCGTAGTTTATTATTGAAAACGTTGGAATGGTTGTTGAACTTGGAGATGGAAAACGGTTTCCTATTTTCCTCCGTAGATTTTCGTACTTGGGCATTGTTTCCAAGGGATAAGGACAACCAAATCTAATAACTTGTACTTTTTCTCTTAACAGAAAGTGACACTCTCGCATTACAACGTGCGGGACCATGCGTAAAACGTTCCACTTCTGGATTTACACTACAAAAAGCCAAATGGTATTCTAATCCCGCGGGAGTAGGATGTTCCTTTACTCCCTCGGATAAAACGGCACTTGGAATTAATTTTTAGACTCCAAATTTTGGGATGTAATATCTTCACAAATACATTAACTCTGATATGAAATTTTTTTTTAATTATATCCTCTGTGTCCTCTTTGCCCTTGAAAAAATAGTACCTCGAGATTGAATGGAGACCATCTAATTTTTAGAGGATGAGATCTAAATGTTAGAAAACTGAAATTTCATTATTTTATTTATGTTTAGAATAATCATCTAATCATTCTTAAGTGTTTTCAAAATTTGAGATATCCCCTTTGTAGGTCTTTTGACAGACGAAGTAGATGTAAACTATGCCCCTGAAAAGCGGAGGATTTGTGCCCAATAATAGAGGGCTTTCGCTCTTTTCTAGGAGTTGTTATGCTTTCGTCCATGTTTTCATCTTACAGCATGGATCAGTGAGGTGGATTGCCCGTCTTACAATGTGGATCTGCGAGGTGGATCGCCCATCCACTTTCAAGTAAACTGATCTAAATCAATAAATTAGTAAGCAAGGGAAATAAAAACATTTGAACAAATAAAAAACAAAAATAAATAAATAAAGAAGAAAACATTTTGTATTTTGATGGTTGAAATTAAAAACATAAATTTAAGTCATTCCATATGTAAATTGCACAGTAGTCAGGGCAGGGCAAATCGTTGATTCAATCTAAAAATTGGATCGATGATTTATGATTCTCAATTCGAATCGGTTATTTTCCATACAAACGATTACCATGAATAGGAAGATCTTCAAAGGTATTTACCCATCATAATGTCACCTGAGAAAATAAATATCTCCATTGTCAACGATCAATGGTTGGATTTTATTGAGAACATGGTTATCTTGTGCAACATATTTTTCCCTTTTCTGACTATTTTCTTGCCCATTAAAAACAATGCTTAAAATCATATACAAGTTAACAATATAAATAGAAATTAGGACATGGTGAAAGTTGTTAGGTATGGAAAAAAATGTAACATTATAGAACTTACAAAGAGATTCTCAAATATTAAAAGAAACATTTGTAGCCCTAGCTAGGCCTTTTCCTGGTTGGCTCAACCTTAGTTGAGCTCTTTAAATGGAACCTGGATGTCATGCAAATCTACTTAACGCTGATTCTTATAATTAGTCAAGAGTAATGACAAAATATAATGGAAAAGTATATAATAAATTTATTTATCTTTGGTACAAGATAGTCACAATTAATTTTGATTATTAAATGGAAAATTAGGTGGTTGCATTTATTCTATTGACCAAGCTTAAAGTTCAAAAAATATTTTTTCGAACTTTGTGCCACATCCAAGCTTATCAAATTTCGCATGAGATGGCTGTAACTTATAAGTAATTGTGACCTCCTGTATCAATGATCAGCCCTCTCTGTTTCTTTTTTCTTTTTTTTTATTATTTTTTTCTTACTTTTTAACCCATCCTAAATCCGACCTGTTGCCACCCATGATTCTATTTGAACCAAAACAAGCCACTAGTGATTTTTTTACGTTGTAATTCTTATATTTTAACATCACAAAATTGCATTTCATTAAAAGAGCAAAGGTCTTGAGAGAAATTGACTCAAAACTTGGTCTCTCTTGTCATCTCAGCTTACTTAGGTCATCTTCTCTAATTTATTCGATAGTTCTTAACCAAACCCTGCCTCCCCCATTCCGAAAGCATTCTATTTCTCAATGTATTCAGATTCACTTCAGGGTACTTTTCGGTTTGATGAAAGAAAAATGAAGCAATTCGATGGAAAAATTTTGATTTTTTAATTTAATATAAATAAATTAAATATATATATAAATAAATTTAAAATAATTTTTTAAAAAATTTATAAAATAAAAAATAATTTATATATAATAATTTTTTGCTTAGCCATAGATGCCGAAGCTTATCTAGGCCTCAAATCCGAAACTTCCAACGTCTTCACTCCCGCACGACAAACACGCAATTTACAAAAAATCCTAAGGGCAGATTCCAACGAGACCAATTTAAGGCCACTTTAGAAATTTAAGAGTGGAACACGGGCAATCCCACAGGTTGACACTGTAAAAAAAAGAAAACCGTTTCAGTGTTAGTAGACGGGCAAGCTCCCGGTCTTGTAGCGTGACATTACAGACAAAACCCCCCATTTGAGGGCACTCCCGAGATTCCCTCTTAAATACGGGCATTTCATTACGGGGACCATGTATATAATTTTGAAGAACCTCGATGGCTCCAGAGCTTCTCCTTTCACTCCGCTCTCTCTCTCTCTTCTCTCTTCAGTTCCTTAAGACCTGCATCAATGGCGGCCGAAACTGCCATTACTGAGAGATAAAAGTGATTCTCTTATTGAAAACCTTCTTTCGCCTCGTGTCACCAGTGTATAGTTTCCAGCTGTTGGAGCTTTTACAGTGAGAGAGCATTTCCTATTACGCACCATCTGCACATATATCCAAACTGCCTCGGCTTTTTCTGCTCGTTCTGCTCCGTATAAAACCACAAGATGTGAAAATCGTTCGAGAAATGAACTGGTTTCTAGAGGAGTTTTGGCTCCAAACTGGGGTAAAGGTGGAGGAAATGGAGAAGTATTGAGTAATGTGCTTCGATTTGGCGCAGGGACTCAGTTTTTGGAGGAAACAGGGTTTTTTCCTCTGAAGTTTTTTGGCCTCTGGTGACTGGATTCAGTTGACTCGGGAGGTGTAAAGCTGAGGAAGTGATTTGCATGAAGCTATGGAATAATCTTGCTTTATTCACGAGATAAACGAGATATTTGATTGAGGTAGGTTTTGTGTTTTTAGTGATATGCTATAGCTCTTGCATTTTGTCTAAAATGTGAAGGTTATGTTGTTGGATTTTTTAATTTCATGTTGTTCTACTCTAGATATTAATTTTGTACTCCGAATCCTAATAACTAATTCTCATGGTATTTTTGTTTAAAGTGATTTTCTATTTTCTATGGTGTTTGGTAGCATAAGTGTCATATACATATTTTGGTGCATTTGTTTCTCCATTCTGGTCGTTTCAGATCAGGAAATTGCTTTATACACAGATATGATATTTTTGTTGAGGTGTTCTAGTGTTGAAATGGGAGAATTATGGAAATTTGACCGAGGCATCTTAGTAGAAAATGAGAAGCTGTGTTCTAAAAAAGCTAGAACATCGTGATGTTTAACTTTTAAGATTTTTTTTTCTTTTTTAACTTTATTTAGATGCTGTTTGTAATCTGAAATTTGAAAAATCAAGAATCAAATTCTGTTATCACCTGAAATAGCACCAAATTCAGTTAATTTGACCAAACCTTTATGCTTTGTTTTGTTATTTCTATGTATTGTTTTGATGTGGGTGAAGATTTGTTTCGCTTATGTCACTAGCGTTAGATTACATTGCTGAAATATGTCTCCTGTTTTCTGATAAGTTGTTAGAATGCCCAGTTCCTGTTCCGAAATCTCCTAGTTCAAGGAAATTTGGTGATCAGATTGAACATTATATCGCAGTTTTTGTTGATGGAAATGTGGGGATAAACGGATGTTAAAGAAAAAAATAAAAAGTAGTGCTTTATGGTCTTAGATGCATGTTACTCGAATAATTGTTGTTAAGGCAATTGATGGTCCTATTTGGATAGTTATTCTTGTGCATCAGGGTTACCAGCAAAGCCATGATAAAACTAGTAAACGATCAAATCTAAGGAAATAATGTTTCAAAATAATTTGTGTTAACGTTTGAAATTCAAATAATAATAATTTGAATAAAATTTGTTAGGTCAACTATTAAAAAAAAATATTATTTGAGCAATTCAGGATAATAATGTGCATACATGAAGATGCAGTTTGGAATTGAACTTTCGCTCAGTATAGATCAAGTTAATTAATTTTCTAATTTCTCCCCAAAAAAAAGTTTCTTAATTTGCACAGTGAACTAGTCTTGAACGAAAGACCATGTACGATGAAAATATACATCATACATGTATCATTTTAAATATTTTTTTGTATTGAAATATTTTTTGTATTATAATAAAACGGGCACATTAAATAACCTTGTGCTTGTATGTTATAGTTATTTATAAATGCTTTTAAAGGATGGCCAACCCCACTTCCCCCCGTCGAGTACAGGCTTGCAAGGGGGTCGGACCCAACGTGGTAGCATTCAAACCTTACCCCTATGTATATACACACACATGCAGGCTTATAGAGTAGCTTATACCTGCCCTTTGAAAGGTAGGGTCTGCTGAACCCCACAATTTGTGCACTTGTAGTTCTCATTTGGTCAATGACATGAAAATTTGAATTTGAGCAAAACATTGGGGGAAATGATTGTGCCATTTTTGGTAAACACAGCCCCGCCCATTTGGTGGATGGCCATCATTTGGTGGAACGATCTTGTCTACACATTCAAGAACTCAAAATCAAATTTTTACTTGTTTATTTTTCAAAATGAAAGTGTGCCGCGCAAAATTGCTGGGGGCAAGGGAAAAAAAAAACAAAAAAAAAGAAGAAGAAATGGAAAACCCTCTAACCATGCATTCTGGGGCTTGGCTTATGCTGTGTTAAGAATTTTGAGGGTGATGTATGCGTGGTGTGTGTTATTTTGGGGAATATGCAAACCTCTCCTATATCTAAGTCAAGCAGACCTGGATGGGTCCAGAGGGACTCGAATCCATTCGGGTCCGACCCACTTCATCCACTCTTGAGTACAGATGCCACCTGGTTACTACCTGCTCATTATGCCACTTTTTGACAAAGTGTTCCTATTATGCAAGTTCTAGCACTAGCACTATGGTTGTGAGAAAAACATAATCTATTAATTAATTTCCCTGGCATATTTTATATAGTGCTGCACCAATAACCTTTATGCATTCTTCTTCTCATTGTATTTAATTATGTAAGATACCTATCAGAGGAAACAAAATTATAAGTCATTGGTAGCGTATTTGCATGGAGCGGGACACCTATGTGCACTATGCTCACCACATTTTCATGCATGTGTCACAATGCTCTTTGGGCCCATATTCATCCAGATCCTCTGGTTCCCAGGCTTTCCAACACACAATAAGTGAAAGGGAACACTCAGAGAAGAAAGTCTTTTGTTGTTGATTGACGAGGGCTATATCAAATTTGATGTAACTAAGATTTAACACCAAACATGTCTATTTAGGAATAAAAAGCATCTGAACTATGTTGTTTATCCTGGTCTGGTCCTGACTGAAGGCTTGATTTTTCTCTAGGATTTGATTTTTCTCTTGCCAAACTATTCAAGTCTGGAACTTGGAGTTCTGGTTACTTACACCGAGGTGTGTAACTTTACTTACACCGAGGTGTGTAACTTGTGGAAATTAATGGTTCTGATATAGTTCATGTTGAGGATTTGGAGGTTGTAGAATCTCTCTCTCTGACTATTTACCCTCCCAAAAACAAAAAAAACAGAAGCAGAAAAGAGGCTATCAAAATGAGCAAGAATAATACTGAGTCTTTGTTTTTTTGGTAAAAGAAAAGAAGAATTTTGAGTCTACTACCTTCAACTAATGGATTAAAACAGAGCTAGCTCAAGCACCTCGACAAGTCTTTTCCTAATTGGTGGTACCCATAGCAGTTATAGAATAATGGCCATACATTCCTTATGCTAAGAACAAGAATGCTAAAACTGGAAATGGAAGAGTTATGTTGTAATATGTATGTAAATGTGGGTCTAACTAGTTTGGCATGTATCAATGCCTTCACATGTGTGAGAAGAACATTGGGAAATCGTTTCCGGTCTTATGAAATTTCCCGGCGGTCCCCATATCAGTTATAGCAATTATAGCAGTTGTACCATAATGGACGAGCATTCCTTAAGCTAAGAACAAGAATGCTAAAACTGGAAATGGAAGAGTTCTGTTGTAATATGTATGAAAATGTGTTTTGTATCTATGCTATCCGCCTGTGGATAGTTTCTCTCTCTCTCTC